GATGGAAGATTGGTGGCTGTTCTTCTACAAAGCACTAAGGTGACAGCAGGAGACTTTGCTTATTGGGATTTAAACGGCCAGAGAAGTTGATCATACGTTTCTTGAAGGGTCACTAGGTGGCAGACATGCAGCAAAAGTTAACAATAATAAATGGTCCCATCAAGGGTAGTTTCAAAACCTAAAACACTAAAATCAGGTATCCATAGCAATAGCACTTAGACTTATATGCCGTTTCCCAGTGCTTTACAGCCCTCTCTAAGCGGTTTACAGAGTCAGCATATTGCCCCCAACAATCTGGGTCCTCATTTTACTGACCTTAGAAAGATGGAAAGCTGAGTCCAGTGGTGGAATTCAAATTTTTTTACTACCGGTTCTGTGGGCGTGGCTTGCTGGGTGTGGCAGGGGAAGGATACTGCAAAATCCCCATTCCCTCCCCACTCTTGGGGGAAGGATATTGCAAAATCTCCATTCCCACCCCACTTTGGGGGGCCAGCCTGAGGTGGTATTTGCTGGTTCTCCGAACTACTCAAAAATGTCTGCAACCTGTCAGAACCTGCTGAATAACACCCCTGGCTAAATCAATATTGAGTGATTGAGACTCGAACTGCCAAACTGCTGGCAGCCGGCAGTCAGCAGAAGTAGCCTGCAGTACTGCATTCTAACAGCTGCACCACCACGGCTCTTGATTAAATTTTACTTGACTTGACTTATTAATTAAATTTACTTTCCTGTAAAAAGTAATCAGGACATCAAACAGAAACTATAAATATAAAACATGACATTATCATTATAACAGTGTAGTGCATCATTGAGGAAGTGATGGGAAAAAGGGACAGGAACCTCTCTAAAAAGCCACTCAGCTTTGGAGTTAAAAAAAAAAAAAAACTAGACATTTGCATCAAATAAAGTGACCTTGCCTTAATAAACTGTACATATAGAATTCTGCACAGGCAGCTCCCAACATTTTTTAAAGACTTTCCTGTGTTTCATCCCTTTCCTCTTTGACTAATGCAGTTTGTTTCAGCATTTTCATTTAAGTTTCTTGCTTGTTGCTGTGGGCTGGGGGTGGGAGTGGGGCTGGGGATAGGAAGAGGGAAAGTAACTCTTGCTTCAAAAGTTACTGCTCTTCCCCCCTCTATCAGATCTCTCCTTTGCTTGCTCTGTTTCCTCCTGCTGCATCTTCAACTGCAGATTCTTCCTCTGACTGTCCCTTCCCTCTTTGTTTATTTATTAAATTTTTATGCCACCCATCTCCCCCACAAGGTGATCTCTTATGCTAGGTTTCTGCACCCAGATTGGCAATTTGACGTCTGCCTAAGCAGTTGTCTTTCTTTACCTCGCTCCAAGCCCGTAGATGCAATTGCTCATATAAATAGTCTAGTGGTGAATGTTTTATGCCCAAAAGCTCATAGCAACAACTAGGATATGGCCTTATTTTAATGATATGCCTGGTAAAATGAAGATAGTTCCCCCTCAACCAACTTGTGTGAAGAACTCCACTCCAGAGAATTGAGATGAAAGTGGATAATAGACAAGCTTTTGCCCTTGATTGAAATTGTGAATAGGGAGCAATGGCAGCTTCCCCAGACACTGCCAGACAAGAGGCAGCTATATTAATTGGAGATGAAATGAGAAGAAATAATTAGCTTTGGTGAAATTTCAGTCAGTATCTAAATATTTGTAGCTCAGGGTTGAAATGAGAGGTCCTTGATGCTCTCTAAGCTTGGTTGTTTTCTTGCAGATGTTTTGTTGCCCAAACTAGATAACATCTTCAGTGCTAGTGATCTGTTGCTAGCATGGATGATGTTACTGATTTGGGTAATGAAATGTCTGCAAAAAAACAACCAAGGTCAGAGACCCCCCCCAAGGACCCCCTCAGTATCTAAACATTTGGGCTGTACAGTAGATTTATGAATTTGGAACTTGGCATATCTGGGATCCACGAAGAACTTAAAACTATAAACTTCCAAAGATTGGAATTTGATAAAGATGTGAAAACACTGAAAAGTATTATTGTTATTTCCCAGATTTTGGAAGAAAAGGAACACTCTTGCGATAAACCTATTAGAAATCTGAAAACTGAATTATTTAAAAGACACAGACAACCCACCTAAAACAATCTAATGAGTCTACCCATAGATATAGAGGAGCAGAGAGCTTTGTTAATTTACATGGAATAATGCATTCATGAAACCTTCTCATTGAGAAGCTAGATGCCTGCAGATTCAGAATGAGAGAAAATCCCTCATGGGGGATTTCTGCCCCTATAAATGTTACATTTCTGAAATCTGACATCGGAGATGATCTTCTTCAACTTTTAAGACAAAGTACATTGAATGAAAGTAATGAGTTTTCCAGATCTTGTGAATGAATGTATGTACTGTATATCAGGGGTGAAATCCAGCAGGTTCTGACAGGTTCCTGAGAACCGGTAGGGGAAATTTTGAGCAGTTCGGAGAACCAGCAAATACCACCTCTGGATGGCCCCAGAGTGGGGTGGGAATGGAGATTTTGCAATATCCTTCCCCCAGGAGTGAGGAGGGAATGGGGATTTTGCAGTATCCTTCCCCTGCCATGCCCACCAAGCCACACCACGCCCATCAAGAACCACGCCTACAGAACCAGTAGTAAAAAAAAAATTGGATTTCACCATTGCTGAATATATGTATGGATGCATGTGTATACACACACACACACACACACACACAAGTAATAACACAATCAAGAAGTACTGAAAATGTGATTAAGCTGCGCCAAGGTGCTAAGGGCAGCCTAACCCATTCCTAAGAGGTCTTTAAGGGGCCTGTCCCAATGTTCCCTTTTATTCGTATCCATTTCATGTATTCATAATCATGTTTATACTTGTATCTGTTATCTAATACATGCTTGATGAAAATAAATAAATATAAATAAATAAATAAATAAATTTCTATATTGAAAAATGTATCTCCCATGATGTTACTGGCTAGATGTCCCCCAGCTTTTTACTCTTTCTTGCAACATTCTTATGTGATGGGACCTTAGGGCTGATTCTTGCCTGCATGTCCATTGCCTGATGGCTACAGCACATATTAAATTTTCATGCATTTGAACGACTTTCAAGAGCAATCAGTTAATGTGTTAAGTCATGCAAAGATACAGGCATGCTTAAAAAGCAAACGTAGGTAGGGAATAAGCCCGTGATAATGTCATGCAGTCATGTTAGAGAAACCTCTTAAACACTGCTATAATGACAGCGACTACAGCTCTATACCTATTTTCCCCAAGCTGGTACCCTCCAGACTTCAACCTCCCCAGGTTCAGTCAACTGATTCACACCAGGCAAATAAATGAGAACAGAATAGAACAAACATTCACCTGCTAAATATTTTGGGTATTTGTTTATTTATTTATTGTATAAGACTGTCCTACTTGCTATTGGTGATTCTTGGTGGAGTGCATCAAGAAAAAAATGTTAAAACAATAAAGCAAAAATAAATACAACACAAATGTAACAGAACGTAATCAAAATATAGCTGGGGCTGTGAAACTCTCCCTCTCACAATAGAATGAGTTCATCTTCAGTATTGCTCCAATGTATAGGGGGGAAAAAGGCAGATCTTCAGAAGGGTCTACACCAATTCACCATAATGGCCAACACACCCAGGCCAACTCGCCACGGGACAAGAGTTACATTAATATTGAAGAAATGGTGGAATGGAATCATTAAAGAAAGGCTGCAAAAGGAAGAACAAAATGAAATGTTAATGGCAAAAATTTATAAAAACTGTTTTAATTATTTTAAATAATTAAATTGAATTGTTGAATTGTCCCATGGTGAGTTGGCTGTGGCAAGTTAGCATGGTGGATTGGCCATGGCAAGTTGTCCTATTCCACCGTGTAAAGGAAACTCTCCTTCTCACAATAGAATGGGTCCATCTGCTATATTGCTCTAATGTACAGCAAAAAAAAAAAAAGCCAGATCTTCAGAAGTGTAATAAGGTTGGTGCCACCTCAACCTCAGGGTGGGGGAGTGGGGAGGAGGGATTGCTTTTTAAAGGGCAGACACAATAACAGACAAGGGACATCTCCTAAGTCCCATTAGATGCCACTGCTTCAAGAAAGAGGCTCAGAGAATGCCCATTGCCCACCCTGTGCAATCTCCTGGGATGTATAGAGGTAACAAGATGTAGGTGGTCCCACCCCCAACCATATTCCATGTAGAGTGTTCTAGGATGTTGAACTACAGGAGCCCACAGAAGCCCACACCTTCTCAACCAATACAGGTTTCCAAATGCGACTATTTTATTTGGAAGGAAATGGTACCTCTTTGTTTTCTTTCTTAAAGAATATAATTTTATTAAAACTTTTAAACAAGAAAATAAAAACTAATGCAAACTAATATAAAGTAAGGAAGTAAAAGAAAAGGAAAGAAATCAAAGAAGAGGCAAAAAGAGAGGGAAAAAAGTTGAAAACAAATGGAAAAGAAAGAAAAAAGATACAAAGAAGTGGCTTCTGATATTTTTCCACAGCATTTGTAAGTAAAATACATCTTCCTTTTCACTATCACACATCCTGATTGCATAACTAATGCAGTCAGGTCCCCTGGCCATACATCAGCAATCCAGAAATGCTTTTTGTATGGAAGAAACAAGCATGTTTAACTGCTTGGTTAGATATAGGATCCGATTAGTTTTACCTAATTCTGCAGGATATTGGGGTGGGGTGGGGTGGGGGGCCTACAGTTGAACGTTCTAACAGCTATTCATATCTCTTTGATTTACCTTGAAATTCGCAGTGGTAAATTAGAAAGTTGCTGGTAGTGCCAGAACAGGACCCAAGGGGCAGTGTGATGTAAGAGGGAAAGAAAGACTCAATGTTTATTCAAGTTTAGAAAATTAAAGGGACCGCGCCAAAAGCTTGACTGCAGTGTACTTCTCTCTCTCATTCTCTCCCTCCCTCCCTCCCTCCTTCCCTCCCTCCCTCTCTCTCTCCCTCCCTCCCTCCCTCCCTCCCTCTCTCCCTCTCTCTCTTTCCGCAGTTTACCTCGGATGCTGTGCTATTAGTGCTGCAGATCGGTGCTATATGTATGAACGGTGCTGGAAGGGTTACGATGCGTTCGGACTTTGCGGGCCCGCTGCTTTGACCCTTCGAATCTTGACACGGGAGCTAACCTTGGTGCTGAAAGCGCTCCGGGCTCTGCGATCTTTCGAACCTTACCAAAGCTACGGGGCTACTAGTTTCTTTAGCCCTTTGCGATCTTGCCTCCCAACCCACCCGCCGAATTTGTTTTTAACCTTTGTTTCATTTTCACTTTTTCCTTTCCCGGATTAGGAGGGAAATGTAGCAGGCTCGAGCTGTACTTGCTTGCTGCATTGAGGTTTGGCCCGGAGCCGTTTGCTTTTAGCACTGACGCAAGAAAATTCATCTAAAAAAAAAAAAAAAAAGAGGAATGGAGACTTACTGGGGATATCAGAGTGGGGCTGGATGCCCTTATGCCTACTCGGAGCTGGGTGCCAATGAGTTTGGTATCCAAAATACCAGTTACTATAATGAAGATATACTGCATAAGGTATGTACATCTGGGATTGGGGGTGGGGGTGGGAGAGAACATAGAGATGGAAATGAGATACTATTCTAGACATAAACAAGTAAGTGGCACTTTTGAAAAGAGGGGATTGGTAAATGCTGAGAAGTCAGTTTAAAGGGATTTTTATTTATTATACTGTAGATATGATACTTTGCAAGTTGGTTGTACGGGACAAATAAATGCTTGGCTTCCAAAAATTTTCAGGTCTCCTTAAGTATAGCTAGTTTATTTTAAGAGGAGGTGAGAGAGAGGATGAGGTCAGTGTTGCTAAAAGAAATTGTGTTAATTGCAATTGTACCTTTCCTTTTAAGGAAAGGAAGGAAAGGAAGTTGAGACTGACTAACCTCATCAACTTGAACTCAGTGAACTCAGTCATGGTAGTTTAATTTCTCTGTTGTTTTCATGCAAGAAATTCTAATATAAACCTGCATGTTCTTTTTTTCGTAAATTAGTACTGTTGAGCCTCTTCTAAGTAATCTTAGTCTGTTGCTGTTGAGTTGTGTAAGATATTGCACAATATTATCTAAGAGAACTCTTAACTGTGAATGTAAATATATGCAGAGTTTGCAAGTCCTAGATAGTGAGCATGAGTGATGAATTTGATGGGACATTCATGCCAGGCTTTGATTTTATTTATAGAATTCCATAAAGAACAGCTTTGCAAAAAAAGAAAGAAAGAAAGAAAGAAAGAAAAAACCAACCCTTTCATTTTGTCACCAAATCATGAAGAATAGTTCTGTTTGGGGTCTACTGTATTGTAAACACAACACAGCTGTTGGATAACCATTAGGCCTGTGTTTATTTCCCAATTCTAATGAGGACAATTTGGGAAGCAAATACAAAGGAAGAGATTAAATGTAAAGAAAAATAGGATGTCAGGATGTCTTTGCAATAATGGAATCTAATGTGATTTTTTTTGGAAACTTTCCAAGTGAGATATATTGTTCCATTCTGTAATTAAAGCCTTTTATGGAAAGCCATCATTAATCATATTATGGCAGTTTTAATTCTGTAGTATAAATTTTTAAGCAGAAGTGCAGCCAAATGTGAGATTTAAATACAGAGCGGAAGTCCAGGCCATATATGCTGGCTTTATATCTGCAAATCCCCAAATTTGCTATACTAACCAAGGTATTGTATTTTTTAAAAAATATCATTATGCAGTATAATGAACAGAATTTTCATGCAGATCTTGCCAATCAATATATATGGTTAGAGACTGAGGAAGCTCAGGAACACAGCAAACCCATCATACCCATTTATGGTTCATTCCCTATTTGAAGTAAACCAATAAATGCAGTTTTGTTTTTATTATTATCCCTGTATTTTGTACCTCCATTGCTTCCCTGGTTATGGTACCATATTGTAATCCTCAAACAGTGTATTCCAATCATTCTAAAAGTTCTCTCTTTTGAAGTAAGGCTTTGTTCATGCTAACTGCGCGTACTTGTTCAGTTGAGACTTACTTTGTCCCAAAGGTGCTTTTTCAAGAGACAACTGGACTTTCTTTTGTTTTTCCTTGAAGAAGTTTAGCTTCTCATCCAAGAAGCTTCTTCAGTTTTGACTGAATGGTGGGGAATGGAAGGATTTATATTCCTCACAGAATCTTTCCATTCCCCACCATTCAATCAGAACCAAAGAAAGCTTCTTGTATGGGAAGTGAAACGTCTTCAAGAAATAAAACAAAGAAAGTCCAGTTGCCTCTTGAAAATGCACCTTTGGGACAACCACGACCTGGATGATGACTGAGAATCTTCATAGATATTTACTTTGTACCAGTTGTTATCACATGGACAACATGTAGATTCATATGGATGAAATTTATCTATATGAAAAGAGTAGGTTGGGATAGATAATAAGAATCAGTTTGTCTCCCAATTAATTTGTAAGGTTCCTGGTTTGAAATGATGCCACTAGAGCAGCCTTCTTCAAATTCAAATTCCTTCACATGAACTGATGACTTGGATCAGAATTCCCATCATTTTCAGGCAATGATGTTTTAAGATGATTGGAGTTTGAATTCAGCACATCTAAATACTCTTTTTAAAACCAAAGGTTTTGGTTCTTCATATTTCTAGATTTTTCTCTAGATGGCCATATTCTATATCACCTTTAGTTTTCATCTTGCTACCAGACAAAACTATCCCATTTTAGCAATAGCACTTAACAACAGCACTTAGACTTATATACTGCTTCATAGTGCTTTACAGCCCTCTCTAGGTGGTTTACAAATGTCAGCATATTGCCACCAACAATGTGGATCCTCATTTTACCAGCCTTGGAAGGATAGAACGCTGAGTCAATCTTGAGCTGGTCAGGATCGAACTCCTGGAAGTGGGCAGAGTTTGCTTGCAGTACTGCATTCTAACCACTGCACCACCATGGCTCTTAATTTTGAAAGATTATACATTTAAAATAACAGATAAAATACTTAAAAACACTTCATTAGCAAGTACACTTCTACAGATAGTCCAGAGTTTATCAATAAACTATGCTACAGCATGCTGAAAGTTAACAACTGATGCGAAACCTCTCTGCAGTCACAGTGCTGCTGTTTATGAACTCTGGAAATTGTCATAATTTCAGAGTTAAGAAAATAAGCTGAGAGCTATGTTACTGGGGATCTAATTCAGAGGATCTCAATCTTGTTCTCAATCTAATGCAGAGTTTTTGATTTATGGTGAGCAAAGCAAATTTGAGTGAATGAATGTATGAATAAGTGATATTTTGGTCCAAAATTTTTGGACCAAAATCAATATAACATGGAAGTTGCGATGAATTACTTGTAATTTAAAAAAATTAAAAGACATACCAGGAATTTGATATTTGGATTGAACTATGCACACAAAATATCCTGCCCAATTTTACAAATGTTTATATGAACTTCAAGTCCCAGAATTCTCCTACCAGCATGGCAATTGCTGACAATCCTGGGAACAGAATTTCATACATTTGAAAGCAGTAAGATTAGGGAAAGCTTTTATACTAATGTTCCAATCTGATCTACTTCTTGCTTTCAGAGCTTCTAGTGGCCATCTTGTGTCTCTACATCTCCCCAAGGAGCACATATTAGTTCAAGGAAGAGAAAGTTTAGACTTTAAAAAGTGAGAAAGTGTGAGAAAGTAAAGCTGGGGTTGCTGTCTGCACTTTATAAAAGCAGCTGCAGCCAAGCAGAAACACTTTCCACACCCACTTCCTCATCTCTTTTCCCAAAGGGCTGTAGAAGTTTACTGTCTCAGAAACTGAGAGGACATAGTCTCATTTTGTAGACTCCCAGGGAAGGGAAAGCTAATACAGAGAGTATAGGAGTCTGTAGGAGAAAAGGCAATAAAGAGAAGATACCAAGCAGGTGAGGAAGTGGGAGGTGAAGCCTGGCCATTTACAACCATTACAGACAAACAAGAGGATGGTTCCACAGTGTTGCAATAACACTATAGGCTGACTTCACTTGGAATCCTTTTCCATAAATCTGTAAGCCATTCACCAAACTCCTAATGCCACATGGCTTTATCTTTTGTTGATTTTATGAGATGTCTTCCAAATTGGCAGAAAGCAAGATGCTTATGGATCACAGCCAGGTGTGTCTAAACTATATTTGTTGTTGTCTTGCTATTGTTTATGCCTCCCACAGCTTGACAAATGACAAAAATAAATCATAGAACTGAAAATACAGAAGGGATATGAATGTTTTATAACTTAGTATATCTCAAATTCCTGGCTATTAAGATGTAAGCATACTCTTCAGCCAATTAAGGTACACCAGAAAGGGAAGAAGCAGAGTCCCTTAAGAAGTGATAGAAATATGAACATACAGTCCTTAATTAGTGAATCCTTCCCCTGATCTGGCAAACAAGATATTGAATAAGATATAGATATATATATATATTCCTTGCTGGCAACAACTGGTGCCCCATTAGGCAGGACATAGGAGATTTCAAATTGGGGATGGATGAATTTCTGAGAATTGCACATTTTGTGATTAACAAATATTTGGTCTTAGCTGCCTTTCAAAATTTCCTTGAGTGAAACCTGTATCATCTTGGCTGATAATGAAGCTTTTTGACTCCTAACCATAATTTCTCCACAGAGCATATTTCGCCTGAAAGCTGACAAAATTTAGAGACACCTTTCATTATAAAGGTTTAATCATAAGCTTTACATTAGATGTTTGTGATGTGGCTGGATGAAATGCATAATTTCATAGATTCTGCCAATCCATGTGAAAAACTTGGCAGAAGCTCAATTTTAAATACAAACATATAAATTCAGGTTAAAAATTAGGAAGAATTTCCTGATGATAAAAACTATCAACCATTCAACAGGTTGCCTCACAATGTGGCCTGTTCCCCTTCACTGGGAGTTTTCTAACAGAGCTGGTTATCTGTCTTCTAAAAAGATAAAAAAGATCCAGTTTCTAAAAAAGTCCATTTGGTCTACTATTTAAGGCACTGTTGGGACAGGGAGTGCTAGTCCTACCCTAGGCATGCAGGCTGGCTGTGTGATTTTGAGCCAGTCGCTCTCTCAGCCCAGCTCATCTCACAAAGTTTTATTGTGGGAAAAATAGGAGAAGGAAGGAGTATTAGGTATTGTGCCTGTGAGTTATTTATAAAACATACTAAAGGCAGGTTTAAAAAATCTTCTTTAAAAAATCTTTAACAGATCCTGCATTGAACAAGAATTTGGCTTATTGACTTCTGAGGTTCACCCAAGCCTATGGTTCTATATGGTTTAATCTGCCATTGTATGAGATAGCAAGATGATAGATTAGATAGATAGATAGATAGATAGATAGATAGATAGATAGATAGATAGATAGATAGATAGATAGATAATAGAAAGAAGATATAGTATCTTAGTGAGGTTAATAGGAGAGAGGAAGTCATGCATCAGATAGCAATGTTGTTCATCCTTTGCCAGCATGGTTATTGGTCATTTTGTTGGAAATGATGGAAATTGTAGTCTAGCACATTTTAAAGGCAGTG